TATATATATATATATATATATATATATATATATATATATATATATATATGCAACGCATGTATATATGTGTGTAGTTTAGCACATAGAACATTCCATTTCAAATAAGTTATGCGCAAGCTTGACATAGCTATGATATGGACCCGAAAATCGATGTATAGTCAAGTCCACTACTCTTCCTAGTTTTACTGCGTTGTAGTTTGTATGCTGTACTGGCATGGTATCCAGTTTTATGAGCAGGACCTCGGTGAACGTAGTCACATCGCCATTTGCATAGTGGTACAGTAACTTTTTCGTTCGGTATCGTTTCACTGTGCTGCAGACCACCCACTGTGCATAAGTTGAATAACGACGCCGGTCTTCCTTTCCATGCACAACAATTCGCTGATCTTACAAAAATGTAGATAACCGTTAGTGGAAAAGTAGGATGTGGAGTTCTGATCGACTGGCACTTGGCTTCGCACGGTGTAGGTGGATTGGTGGATCACCTATGGATTTAGTATGCATTTCATTGAGCAAAACTTAAAATACCAGCGTGTTTTAGTTGAATTTTCATCCCATTTTGTTATGATTTCTAAGCAGGGTTATGGGAAAGGACAACAGTGATATGGCCACTTGAAATGGGATATGTTGCTCCAACCGTGTTTGATTCTCGGCAAAGAAGATCCACATTCTCCAATCCAGATTCACTACACAGCAAAATAACGATAACTGAAGTTTCTTGAAGTTGAACGAAAATTTATTAGGAACTAATAGAATTTCGGATATATCGGTTTCCTATTAATAGCCACGTTTTTAAGCATGGCCTACACTGAGCTATAAATTCGCATTATTTTCAGTCCAATGATTATTTTTCTTGGGAACAATCACAGTTCCATTTAGTAACTAATTTCTAAGAAACAAATGGAAATTATCGCATGTACTCATATTACATCAAAAAGAAGAACTTGCTAGTATATGGTGTCGTTATCCTATGAAATGATTTGCTTTCGTGCGTTTTCTTTGCTATGATGTAATCAAACTTCAGCCCTTCCGAGTCGCTTCGGTAGGAAATTACTAAGACAATTGATCTGAACTGGTGCTATATGAAATCACGACGAACAATCGTAAAGACTTGGAGTTATGTGTTCATTGAAGTGTGTTGTTTAATGCTGTTAATGTAAAAACGGATTGCTCTGATGCGTACGAAGTGTACTGTTTCACGGATATTGTTTACTTTTGTGAATGATCGTCTGCACAAATAGTAGTGCATTTATTGTGACTCTATTCAGCTAAAATGTCGGAGCGACGTATCGACGTAAATCGTACCAACTATTCCGTAATCGACAACGAGTTTGGCAATATGAGAGATCGTTTCGAACAGGAGATGCGTCGCGTCGAGGACGAAATGAAACGGCTTCGCTCCGAATTCGAAGGTAAACGTGTTTGTTTCCGAAGTAAGCGAGCAAGAGCGGGAGCGAAGACCCGTTCTCCGATTTCCGCCGGCGCTTCGGCCGCCACGTTGCCGTCCACATCCACGTCTGGGAGGGGGCCGCGCCTCCAAAGAGCAAATGCGAAAGTCGATAACTCCGCAGCACGGGAGCACGACAGTTGTGCGCGTTCGAAACGTTCAGGCGACGTGCATTTCCACTTGCGATCTTCACGCGATCTCTGTGGATCGATCGGATGACCTCATTATCGTTAACCATCGCGCGACGACGTGACCTCTATAGGGGTCATACTACACGAAATTAATTCTTAAAACTTGCAACCTTAAGCCCACATATCTTCGCTCACAGTGGGTTTTATTAATTGTTCTGAAAACTTAAAAGGTGCCGAATTTCGCCTACGGGAAAAATCTTTTTGTTTTGCCACCATGAAATCCTAATTTTCTGTAGCCTAGAGCATATGTTCCTTCCATTTTGTTGCTTCAGTTTTTCAATTTCGAACACGAAAGCAAACGAACAAGCGGGATTTCGTCTAGTACGACATTCTCCAATGTATCACTCATGTTTTCAGCTGTTGCTGTCCCGTTAGAGATTCTAAAACTTGTAAATTTAATTTTCTGTCCATTGAAAATCCTGATTCTAAACGTATTGAAATTTAAAAGGACGCCATTTCAGAATTACATATACGATTTGGGCACTAAATCAAAGTCTCTTCTATGCATTTATAAAGTTCTGACCTTTAGAAATGCTTCATTCATAAATTATCGTCGAGAAACCAGCTTCGTCGCGAAAGAGCTCAAGCACTCCCATTGGCGGCGGTTCGTGGCATCCAAAACCAACGCTGATTCAGCGATCGTGCAGTAGATACGCACAGAGCTCCTACCCACTGTCAGTTAATTCCAAACTAGTATGCGCTTCCTTTCGTTTTCTGTCCGTATTGAAAAATGCGAAACGAAAAAATGACGTGAGTTTACGAACTGACAGAGCGTTCAGATTCGTTTGAATCACCGTCATTAAGTTTTGAATATTATCCACATTCTTGAATTTGATGTGGTGCGATTAAACAAAGTATTCTTTTCGCAGTGGATGATTTATTTTTTAAAATAAACTTAGTCCATTAGTTTTCTTATTTGTGCAGTGAAAATCGACAAGTTAAAAAGTATGGCTTTTATTCCCACCATAGATTGTACAAGTTGAACTTTTTTTTTTTGATAGGATAAATTCACTGTCAATAACTAACGGGTCCGATTCTGCATTGGTTTTTTGTTTCGTCTGTACTTTGCATAAATATATTTTGCCCTAGCATTGCATAGATGCACCTTCAATTCAGGGTATATCTGGGTTTTATCCAAGCACACAACTTGTAGCTGCTCACCGCATGGAGTACAAATTCTGTTCCTCAATTTCATATATCAATTCATGTCAGGCTACAGACCGGGCGGTCCACCATCTGCTCTCTCGAATCAGGCGTACAACTCGTCCCATTCCACTCATCACGAGTCCCGTCGACAAGAAGGTTTTGGCGCTCCTCCGCCTCCGTCGTCATTCGGTTAGTTGTAGACGTTTCATACGCTGCTCGTACTAGCGGGTAGTGGCTAGTGGATGTATGTTGGGAGATGTAGATTCCTCTGTAAAAGCTGTTTTGAGCATTATTTTTTGACAGATACAAATTTGTTGCGCTAACTTTTTGTTTTTCTCTACTTGTGAATTGAATAGCCTAGAACTGGGAAGCATCCGTGAATATATACTGCTGTGGTGTTCTCGAGACATTTATGCTCAAATACTGACGGTTTTTTTTGCGTTAACAGTGTGCCTTTAGGTCGCTGTGATTTAATGTCCCGCCCCACATACGACCCATATCTGGATAATCTCAAGAGTCCTTTGATTAAAGATGAGAGTGATGGTAAAACTCTTCGACTCAGGTTAGCTTCTAGTTATTTTTTGCAAATTGTATTCCGTAAGGGAAATTTAATCTCAGACGAAGAGCAAAGGTTAAACGATGTTCTAGATTCGACGTCGCACAGTATAAACCCGAAGAGGTAACTGTGAAGACCATCGACAACCGTCTTCTTGTTCATGCGAAACATGAGGAGAAAACGCCACAGCGTACAGTATTCAGAGAGTACAATCAGGTACAGGTTAACGTCATTGACATGCTTTTATTGTTCTTTCTTTTTCTGACAAAGTTGTTTTTCCGACACCTGGTAAGGGAGCAGCATCGCGCTTCGTTCCCATCATAGTAGGCAGGTAGAATTCAAGGTTAAAATGTGTATTGTAACAAGATAATTTGTTAAGCCTATGTTTCTTCCGAAAAATGCGTAGCAGACTGCAAAATGCATTGTGTTGTAACCGTCAGAGAAACGAAAAAAAAAACGCCTAATTCATGGACAGAGTGAATACTGGTCGATTAGTTCGTCCTTTATTGTCGCAATGCGGGAATTTTGGATTCTTCACAAATCAACTACAAACTTGCTAGGTAGACCTAAGTAAGGGATGAGAGTTAACGTTAACTAGTACGGAGTAAGTTTTCTAATAAATCGGTAGTGGAATTGAGAGTGAGCGCACTGCTTACAAAGGATGTGAGAATTATGCTGTTAACAGCAGAAAGAGAAAGGAAAGAGTGATAAATTATTGGGAAAAAATAATCCTTACATACTGTTCTGAGTCTTCCGCGGACGAAGTCATTCGTCAGTAAGTCGTGAAATCCCTCTAGTAAGTTAGAGATGCAATAGTCGTAGAGGATAATAGTATAGTGCATTAGGCGTCTATTAATCCGTGAGGAATAAGCTGTGTTTTTCATTTCACCAAGCATGGTCAGAAGTAATTTAATGCATATTTGCACTATACAGTGACTTGTGATTATCTACCAATTATTAAGTCATTCCTGCTATTCCCCCAGATAAATCTGGTACCAATTTCCCGACACCGAAAGGAAAACTTGATGAACCGGGGGGCGAGATCAAACCAACAACCACGTGTGTATCGCAGGGACCTCTGCGTCTGGACAAAGAAGAGAAATTTTGATAACGTCTGTTCGAGTCTGTTGTAGGAACGTTTCAATATTTTACGAAATCAGTACCAATCTTGTCACTTAGCATAGGCCGAGTAAATTCATTCTACACTGGAAGCATATCGTGTAAAGCAGTACACAACCAATAAATGAACTGTGTGACAGAGAGAAAAAGAGAGGTTCTAAAATTGTATATGACTTCGTTATCAATCGACTCTCTCGTTGAGAAAATCCTCTCACTTTCATAGTTCCGTTGAAACTTCACATTTATCAGTTGTACTTGTTTGTCTTCGTTCAGGAATTTCTTCTACCACGTGGAACTAATCCTGAGCAAATTTCCTCTACTCTATCCACAGATGGTGTGCTCACCGTTGAAGCTCCACTCCCACATCTAGCCATTCAACAGTAAAATGGAGTACAACCACTAGGAAATTCTGTACGATCGGAAGTATTCGAATCACAAATTCAAATTTCTCCTAATACTTTGAATCATCGTTTACGATGGTGTTTGCTTTAGTGCCTGTTGTAGTGTCAAGAATGTTATTTCTATTCACCGGTCCTTCAAAACATCGAGTTACGTATACTACTAGTTCTTTGGAACGGTTTTAACTGAACAACCATCACCTTGTGCATGTGTGTCAGAATGTTGAATTCCACTTCTAATGTGGCAATGTAAGCCCTTGTTCGTGGATACACCGATCTTCGGTGACCAATGCGGTCTATTTTTGTAACACTGTGGTATCCATTGATTATAACAAATTTATTTCTATAGAATTGCTTAAAATAGAGGCTATGGAAATACAAATCTATTCTAGATAGCTGGTTTTCACTGTTTTATATCAGCGGCTCTGACCCAAGACCAATTTTACCAGATTATAATGAACACTTAATATTACCGGTTAGAATTCGTAACGAGTATATCTATGAAAGAAACGACGAACCGTCGGAATGCCACAAATAGTTAACAGTAGGTGATACGTCAAGTGCCTTCACGTGAAAATGTCATTGTGAGTAGAAAGGAGTGCTAAGCTAGTGAGTGTAACTGAAATATCTGAGGAATCATCCTCATAATTCTTAGGATATCTCGAACTGCAACGTTAAACGATGCAAAGAATAGACGTTCACAATGCTCCAATCGGGTCAGAGGCTGTAACTGCGAATCTATGACTTGCTAAACACAAAAGAGGATCGAATCTAAAACCAGTGAACTTTACTATACCTTGCAGTGCTGGTGCAGTAAGTGACTAGATAAATAGCTTCTGGTTAGAGTTTGATGAGTTACAAATTCAGAGAGAAGGCGAGAGCAACCGGCTGAAAGTTAAGTAGTTTGAATACACCCATTCTTTGTTCCTAAACGATATTCAATAAAATCACCTTGTGGTCACCGGTGCAAATATCTCTACCAAATGAAGAGTAGCTGGGGTTTCCTTTCTTCACTATTGTAAATGCACGGGCATTCATCAGAACACGATCACACCACGCGGGAGCGCGAGTCTTCATCATCACCTCCGAGTCCTCAGGATCCTCACTCCATGGATAACTGGAAGTTGTCATGTTCTTCAAACGATCACATACGTTAACATGAGAATACTTCACGAAGAGGACTTTTTTTTAACTTACCGCACACCTTCAGGAAGATTTACATGGATTAGTCTTGAATAAATAACTTAATAGTTTTCTAAATAAATTGAAAGAACTACGACCAACTGAAATTCTATGCCAAAAGTTATGTACTACCACGACAGGACCGGGGAAAGAACATTGTGGGAAGATTCACAGTACTTGCTGACTTTCGGAAAAACACATTCATGTTTTAATTGAGGATAAATTGGATGTGCACAGCATTGTACGATCCTTTAAGATGCAAATGAACTGTTTCCATTCTCCACTTCCAAATAAGACTTTTCGAAAATGTCAAAGTTAGACGCAAAAAGCGTCACCATCCACAAACGGTGTTGAACTACAACTGGATGTTGCGGTCTAAAAAACTGACCAAAGTTCCATTTGTTTTCGAATGTCAATGTTAGAGACACACGTTTACGCGATGCAATGTCCAGAATACTAAATAGGCCTAAACTACGAACGGCGATGCTGCGCGATTTAACCGATGTGGTCGCAGCAAATAACCGGATGTCGCACTCATAATGAAATGCATAGTGATTGAGAATAAACAGTGAAAGGCTGCTGCTTTGTCTCATTAGAAGGATAAAGGATAAAGCTCTCGGCGTCGATCAATCCATAGGGATGCGCCATGTATTCGACTTCATTAAGCATCGTTTGGAGATGATTGAATGCATATATAGCCTTTACAATGACTAGCGGTTGACTACCGATGTATCGAGCTAGTGCTACTATCCTCTCAGACAATTCTGCTATCAATCTGCCGATCCCGGAGGGATAGAAGACTTTGTGGGCCAGGGGTGCGGGGGTCGATTGCCGGGAATCGATCGCATGTGTGCCTCCGCCTCCAATCACAGTCTAACACGCCTTCATTTTTCCTTTTACTCCCAAATTTAAAGCCATTTTTAACCATCCTACGTTCTAAAGTTTACGTTCCAATAACCAGGATGTTCTTTATGCTAATTTTCTGAACTGTTTGCCTTGCAAGAAAAAAGGCAACGTACCCAAATGATGAGAAAATGAGTAAAAGCATGCATAAAAATAAGGAAAGGGAATGTCAAACTCAGCAAACGGGCCTTGAAAAATTGTGAAATCTTGTGAAAGTCTCTCACGTTGGTGGGAAATTGATCGGAAGTTCGTGCAACTGCTTGAAGTTTTTCGTCTCACAATCATCTTCCAGATAAGACTTCCAATCATCCAATAATTTTTTATGATTGAAATAATCGAATCGCTTCTTCTCAATTCGCAGAACACAACTAAAAAACACAAGTAAAATAGAAGTTTTGCAAATGCTAAAATCTCTAGGACTGTGGGAAACTAAAGGCCAAATACTGATATGGTGATAAAAATAGTCGTCGTTGCTTAAATATTTTCGAAAGAACATTAAAAACAGTGATGCTAATGATACTGGCCGATAGAAAACTATCTGAGAGACAAGCGAAACGAAGGACCCGCATGGTATGGTGGTAAACGCGTCAGAACCTGGAAAGGGGAATAGCGCGTTTGAACATCTCAGCATTATTATGGTTATTGAAAACAGTGTCTAAACGTCAAGCGATATATTCCCTCAACAAAATATTTCCTGGATTCACAAATAATAGTGTATAAATAAATTGTTCTAACCCGCTATTCACGTCGTCTTCAGCTTCTCTGCGAAACTCGATGGCAGAGACGGTTTTTCGAAGGTGATCAGATATGGGTGTGATTGTGCTTGTCTGTAGACCATCAGCCATTGATCCATGCTGTTCATCTAGCGGATGTAGTGATGCTCTCTCTGTCAAACGCTGCAATTCTTATAATAAGCTTTGTAAAGCAAAACATATTCCATTGTTTGGAAAATAACCTCGGATTTTCCGCACTTGGGCACTTCATCTTTGAACAAAACTTTCTGCTCTTGCACTGATATGCCAAATATACCTAATGTATATTATCTATCATATAAGGCGCATATTTCGCTTCACATGCTTGAACCACTGTATTTCCTATGCCAATTTGTGCTTACTTTAGGCTCATGAGACAAAAAAAGTTTATTTTGTTCTTGAATACGGAGTTGTTAACGAGTGGTGTAAACATAATTTCAACTTGTTATTTACTGCCTACGCTTCTTTAATGGCAGGGTATATTGCGAAATATAGCTTCAATGATGCTGAGATATTTGCAAAACTCCGGACAGCAGGTGTATACGGTGGGAACGGACGCGCTATTGTCCTTTCCGGGGAGTAACGCGTTCACCACCACACCATGCGGGTCCTTCGTTTCGCCTGTCTCTCAGCTAGTTAGTTCTATTGATCTTTTGCCATCAGCAATCACCCATCAGCAAGATTGATGTCGGGGGCTCAAATCGAAAAATTCTGCAAATAACTCAGCATCACTGAATTTATATTTCGCAATATACCCTGCCATTAAAAAAGAGTAAGCAGCAAATAATGAGTTGAAATTGTGATTATAACTACAGCCTCAGCTTAACTGGGTTCGTTGCCGAATTGGGCCCCAGATCAATCCCGCTGACGGGTGATTACTGTGGCAAAGATCGACAGAACTAGCTGAGAGACAGGCGAAACGAAGGAGCCGCATGGTGCGGTGGTGAACGCGTTACTCCCCGAAAAGGACAATAGAGCGTTCGTTCCCCACCGCCTACACCTGCTGTCCGAAGTTTTGCAAATATCTCAGCATCATTGAATGGTGTAAAGTTTGTATCAACAATTTTGTGCCAGAAATAAACAAATAAACAGACATATAAACAAAGCGTATAGATACAAGGAACACAGACAAACAAACACACACACATGTATGCATGCGTACATACAAAGTATTTCGAACTCTACATATGTATATATATATATGTACATATGCATATATATGTACATACATATATACAAGCCATAGTCAAAACTAAACGGAAAACGTGGACAAACAGTTGAGAATCTGGTATAGAATGAACTGAAGTAACAAGGAGGTCTCTACTGTGCAATAAGACAAGCGCTTTTCTGCGTAGCAAAAATCCATTCGTTCCTCTAACACACTGTGACGTTCGAACGAAGGAAGGATTCTATACGATAATCGATGGCATTCTATGAAATGTCTGGGAACAGATGAAGTACAGAAACACTTGTTCTGTGGTAAACTGACGGAACTATACTGCTTGACAGGGATCCGTACGAAGGCGCTAGATTAAAAATTTATCACGAGGGCACTGGAAGAAAAACAACCCAGAACGGCAATGCCGGTGACCAGCACAGAACTATAAAAAGAAACAATATTGATATACACCAGCACCCCCCATTATTGACTTTGTAAAAGTTGAAATAACTAAAATCCGAAATCAACCTCACTGATAGGACCGATTTCGTAATTCACTTTTTCAAACACACGAATTCACGACTGCTTGGAAATCCATTAACAGCCAAGCCGTTGGTGAAAATGATTTTACGAAAGTCGCACGATCGAACCATAAACCACAGAACCACAGAATTTCAACGCGATGAACAGGTAGACTTTTATGTCGGTGGGAAAGATATGGATGTTAGTGGCTTCCACATGGTTTCATACAGCTTACCATGAGAAAATATGGTTGGATTTAAGGCTGCAGGTTCACTACCGAGATTATTGAGTATTTTCCGAACGAAGTAAGATCGCCGTAATAAATACTCACATTAAGAAATGAAGGGCAATCAAGTCGAAAATTGAGGTCTCCAAAAATGAATCGAAAAGGAGAACACACACCATCGGAACGTGTTAGCTGGTCCAACACGTAGTCAAGAGCCCGTTTTCTATTGGAACTGTACAAAAGAGGATTCTAAAACGACTTTTCATGTGGAAAGCTTCTTGTCATTGCAAAAAAAAAGAGGAAAAAGAAACCACAGAATTACAGAATCTTATCTCTGCTCACCTCATGAATCAGAGCTAGATTTGACTCATCGTGGAAAAGATGCACATTGACAAAATCGAACGTTCTATAACAACTAATTTACTTCATGAAGAATTGAAAAGTAGCCTACACCACATATTGATGGCCATATAATTAGTGTACTATAAGGAAATCTAACACCTCAAAGCTTCTTGGAAAACTACCGATGAACTAACTTCACCAAGTACACTGTGCAGTTATAATTTAAATACACTTACGAGTTGTTTACTTTCCAGCGCGTCTGCATATATCCCTTACGGCCCCACTTGATGGTGGGCCAGAAATGCTTTGGGAACTTCTTTTTGACAATAACAGGAGAGTCCTCCAGACCATCGACCGAAATATGCAATCCTTTTTCCACAGCTACATATGACCTCGTTGCGAAATTAAACTGTGATATTGCCCCAATAGATGCATCACGAATCAACATAACAGATCCTAAGGCCTGAAAAATCAAGATGTCGAGAAAATTGTGCATAAATAAGTACACAGTCCTATGTCAATCTTCAAAAAAGACCACAATATGTCATTAGATTGCGATTTTAAGACTGTACCATAAGAAACTTCCGGATAGGATTCCATGAACAGAACAGAGCAAACCCTAATGATAAGTATATGAAGATAAGGAAGGATGAAACAGGCTGACCGTAAAAGTGGGCGCCTCATGCTCTAAATCGAGATAAGCTCGCACGGTAGGATATCTCGGCAGTCGTAGCGCTAACTCCTCAATAAGCTTGGGCACTTGCCATGCACACTCAACATAACTGAAACGATCGACAATATGATATCGTCACGGGCTTGACTAGTCAACTGCTGCTAATTACTCTATCAAGGGATGATGACATTCGAACAGAACCGCACTCGGCTCCATTCGTGGACGAAAGAAAATCGGTAATTGTAAGGGTGAAGTGGTTGATGAGAGAGCGTACAAGGAATGACCAACTGTTTTCCTCCAGTCTCTTGCATGTGAATGACCACAATATCGGCCATTTCATCGTTAATCCGCTAGAAATAGAAAACAATTAGAACATAGTCCTGTCGAAGACTAAAAAAAACCCTGCCTAGGAAAATCGGTACTACCGATCCTCGATATTCAGCCGAATCTACAGACAAGAATTTTCATTTCCTACGAAATAATAGTTCGCGTTCAAATCTGGGAAAACATTCGAAAACGGATGTAAACCTAAGAAGTACACTGCACCCATAAACCCACTTCGTAGGCAAAGTGTGAAGGCGGGAATCAGTTTATTCACGAACATGCAAGGAAATTCATGCGCGATGAGAAAGCCTGGCATTAGAACTGAATTAACTGACAAGAACCCATAAACTGAGAAAAACACTTCAACATTAAACTCTGAGTTGTTCGTTATTTCCTAGTGCGACTTTTCTCAGCCTTGTTTATGGATCTGAACAAACCTGGACCAGCGTCTGCAGCCAGGCTTTGTGAAGTCGGCGATCCCGTTCGAAGACAGAGCCGACATTTGCCGTTACCAGTAATATCCTCTCCACCTGCATACTGATGAGCAAATGAGACAGTCGTCCGTCACCTGGCTGACGCGACCGCCTGCAACGCGGTCTCCCAATGCACGTGTGCCAGCTGCACCAGCAATCGATAGCCGCTCGCTATCGATCGATTCGAGAAGGCGGCGGGACTGACTGCACGAGTGAAGCGAGTCTCGACCCACACGACGCAACGCAAATCGATTGGGGTGGCAGCGTATTGACTGCTAGCGACGACGACGACACAACGCCGAATGGCGGGTGGATCTACGGATGATGGATAGATGGATGGATGAATGAATGGCCGTGCGAGTAGACTGCACGCGACGTTTCGCTGTCGGACGCGACGTCGCGGCGACAGAGGCTGCGCCGCGTTTGCGGGAGGACGTCGGACCTGTTGACGACCATGGAGCGGAGTACATCTTTCGACCAGGTCGGATCAATCATCGACCGATGTGTGCACAGTGGTGGTACATAGTGAATCCGAATACTTTCGCAACCAGGAGTGAGATATTTCTCATCTGCTGGTGTTAGGCATGTAAAAATAAAGGATAAAGCTGTCTGCGTTGACCAATGCCTGAAGGATGCGCCATGAATTCGAATTCATTAAGCATCGTGTGGAGGTGATTGAATGCATATCTGACCAATACAATGACTCGCAGTAGCTTACCGATGTATCGAGCCAGTGCTGCTATCGTCCCAGACAAGTCTGCTATCAATTTACCGAACCCAGAGGGATGGAAGGCTTGGTGGGCCATGAGCGCTGGGATCGATTTCACGTGTGTGTTGCAAGGCGCATACGACCACTGCGCCACACGAGTCCATTATGCATGTGGTACTGCTTAACTTTCCGCCGAACGCCAGATATGTTCTGGAAGCCCATACGGCCCACTGTTCCCAGCTTCTCAAGAAAGTATGCCACTTCTAAGTTTTGTATCCTTCGCCCTCCTCGTTTCGTGTTATCGGTGTGGAATAAGCGGTTTCCTAACATATGTTCAGTATATTGCGGTATTTTTTATAATAATTCTTATGATCTCTTATTTCATACAGATGATAGGACGTTCGGCGTTGATCAGTCTCTTAATTATACACCATTCCCTCGAATCCATTAAACGTTATGGATAGCATTGATTGAATGCATATCTGGACTACGCGATGACTTCCAGAGAACAACCGATGTACCAAGTCATTGTTTTTCATCCTCCAAGAGAAATCCGATTTTGCCGACCCGAGGTGAAAGGATCTGATATTCGGTGTCTCGTGACCGAACCAACGACCATGTATGCAGTACTAGGCCGCATTCAACTACTATGCTGCGCTCGCTCTATTTCATTCGATAAACACAGTGTTCCTTAGCAGTTAGGAAGTAACGAACAATAAATTACTAGTGAAAAATTAATTTTCACACTGTTGGTTTATCTTAACGCATGATGAATTGAACATCATTTTCGATCGGTTTCTCACCGAAAGCGGACAAGAAACTGGAAGCGCTGAGGGCACTGATGGTCCTCATGGAAAAATCCGGAGATAATGTTAGTGAGGACGAAGACGAAGATGTGTTGATGAGCTCGGCAGGATCTTTCATGTCAGTTAAGCTGATGCGGATCAAGATTATCTGCATGGACGCGTAGAAACAATATGTTTTTATGGAGTATTTACCATTTGTGTTGTGGATCTGCTTGTGAAAGAGGCGAACATATACAGGGGAACTCATCGGTCTCTGTTTTAAAATGGTATTTGTTAGACTTTCACATATCCAGGATTATCAGTGTTCTAGTCCGGATTTTGGGAGATGTTACTTTGAGCTTGAGTTTACGACAAAATTTTTCGTGGACGTAGGCAACTAGATGGTGTACTATTCTCCGTATGTCTAGAAAGTAGCAAATGTTATGAAGAGTCAGGTGTACTTAAGTTGTGTTCAGATTTATAGCCTCTATGCTGTTCAGTCACATCCTTGAAGCGGCCGATAGAATGCGAAAAAAGTGGTGATGTGCCAGCCATTATAGGAATAACTGTACCAACCTCTCGTCAGCTTAAGAAGATCAGTTTATAAGATCAAATAAATAAATATATCGACATTATAAGAATGTTGTCGTATCGACCAGAATATAAAATATCACGCCGTTTGATATTCCAGCAACATACCAAAGCTGATTGGCGAAAAGTAAACATCGTAAGGAAGGTATGCTATTCGTAACCTACAATGTTTTTAAAAACACTATGAGAAGAAACAAAAGATCTCAATGAGATGCACTGTGTGATCCCGGATAGGAACTATAGTGAACAAATGCAATAAAGACAACTTAGTACTGTCATCACTACCAACATTCCATGTGATACTCTATTGTTGGTGCTCGATTGTCGAAAAAACCGAGTGCAAAAGCAATGCGAATTCCAGCACTGTTTGTATTCGACTTCGTTACTTGCATCCACCATTCATAGGGTTTTCGAACACATTGTCTTGCGTGCGGGTTTGACTGCTGCTTGAGGTTTTTTGAGGGACTTCGTTACTGTTGCCGTTGAATGCTTGTTGAGGAGATTCTCCCTGGAATCCTGAGATAACCGTGCTGGGTCTTTCCCACGTGGGTTAGAGGGAGTGAGCCTGTCACAGACAAGTCTGGTAGCAATTCCTCGAGCCTGGAGGGAGCCAAGGCTTCGTGGGTCCGGTGTGGGGTTGAACCAACGTCTGGGTAGGTTGGGCCGTCCGCGTAATGAACGGCGTCGATACCACTGCACTAAACTATGGTGTGAATAAAGCGTAGGCTTTATTGCCATTTTCCGAGCTCATGAACCAACATATACTTTGCTATTTAACCTCAATGCTAAAGTGTGAATACAGAAAAGTGTTTTAACTTTTATTTACTACCCACTCTTTTTTCATGACATAGTACGATATGAAATGCAACGATAAGGACGTTGAGGTATGAGCAAATCCTATCCACCACACCAACCGACGCCCTTGTTTTGCCTTTCAATCTGCCATTTTTCTAAACTGTTGATGCTGCCAGCTATTTTCCGTCAAAGGGAATGATGCGAGGAGACAAGTCGGCATTGGACCCAGTTAAGGTAAAGCTCATTTCAATCTAAGAAGTAAGATGGTAGCGGTAGATTGTTAAAACGTGTTCTAAATTGTTCTCACAGTCAACAATCTTCTCTAGTTCTCAAGCACAGATGGTATAACCCTCTCAAGTCATTTTCTAACGACCTTATCATTATTGCACAGGTTGCAATCGGCAGAAGAAAATATTTATGAAATACATCTGACTCGAAAACGAGCAGGTTTTTGAAGGACTAACCAGAAATTAAAAACAGCGTAAATTGTTTTAAAAGCCCTGATGAAAAGCTACAGGTTGACAAATTGATGGACCCAAATACATCTATTTGCATGTTCTTGTGTGATTTGGAAAGCTGCAACGAATTTGTAAAGTGTGACGGACGAATTACCAGCTACATATTTCGAAAATGGGTGTTTTTGAACACTTTTAAATTTTTGAAAATAATCATCAAGAAGCTCTAGGAAAATAGCGTGTATATAGTGGTGTACGCATGTGAAAACCTGTATCACCTTTAGTCCTGTTGATCGTCGAGTGACTCGAGCAGGCGCCAGTAAATCTTCCATTTTTCCCTGTCGCGAGCAAGAGTACTCGAGTGGGTTCTGCTCGCTTTAAGGACTCGTCGAGCATTATACCTTTCTTGAAGGCTCTTTGTGAAGAACTCTGACCATCGGGTCGGTGGTCTTCCTGCAGTACGTTTGACATCTCGAAAAACCCAGTCACTAACGGCTCTTGTCCATCGGTAGTCATTCATACGCATTACGTGTCCGGCCCACCTTATCCTCGACTGTTTAGCGTAAGGAATGGCACCTTTGATTTTTGACCGTTGACGCAGATCGGAGCTTCGGATCACATCCCTTACTTGAGCGGACTGGGATACTCCTGTTAACATCCTTTCGACGGCGCATTCGATAACGCTGAGTGACCTTTCATCCTGCTTATGCACCGACCAGGTTCCTGACGCATACATTAGGGCACGAAGTACCGTTGAGTCGAAAAGGTGGGCACGGAGTCGGGTGTGCTTTG